CCAGCCCGTTGTGTTAGCCACTAGACCAGCTAGCCACAATAAGATTCGTCCAACTAGGTATATTTCTACACCATAGAAAGGTTAGCACAGGCACCACTGTGACCACAAATGCAAGTTTTTACAGACGAATCTCCAGCTAGTGTGGCCATGACGAACTCTAGCTCCAGTCCCTTCACTGCCGTCAACATGACTCACGAAATCGTAATGACACGATTGCAAACAAACCATACCCCGGCTGGGATTGAACCCGCGGTCAGAGAGTCTCAAAACTCCAGCCCGTCGCATTAGCCACTAGACCAGCTAGCCACAATAAGATTCATCCAACTAGGTATATTTCTACACCATAGAAAGGTTAGCACAGGCACCACTGTGACCACAAATGCTGGAGATTCGTCTGTAAAAACTTGCATTTGTGGTCACAGTGGTGCCTGTGCTAACCTTTCTATGGTGTAGAAATATACCTAGTTGGACGAATCTTATTGTGGCTAGCTGGTCTAGTGGCTAACGCGACAGGCTGGAGTTTTGAGACTCTCTGACCGCGGGTTCAATCCCAGCCGGGGTATGGTTTGTTTGCAATCGTGTCATTATGATTTCGTGAGTCATGTTGACGGCAGTGAAGGGACTTGAGCTAGAGTTCGTCATGGCAACGCTAGCTGGAGATTCGTCTGTAAAAACTTGCATTTGTGGTCACAGTGGTGCCTGTGCTAACCTTTCTATGGTGTAGAAATATACCTAGTTGGATGAATCTTATTGTGGCTAGCTGGTCTAGTGGCTAACATGACGGGCTGGAGTTTTGAGACTCTCTGACCGCGGGTTCAATCCCAGCCGGGGTATGGTTTGTTTGCAATCGTGTCATTACGATTTCGTGAGTCTTGCCAGTTTACTGGCATGAAAGGCAGGGTATTGAGGAGATATGTAAAGCCAATGATGGACACTGATCCACCTCCCATCACTCCTCCTCCTCCTCACTTTTCTAAACCATCTACACAACTCCTTTCTTTGCAGTGTTCCAATCCTTCACTGCTTACTCGTTTTCCACTACCTCCACGTGTGGACTTTACTAATCCTCCTAGTCTGTAGACACCCTACTGTTTCATGTTACCAGTAATACTTCTCTTTGCAAATCATGACTTATTTTCAGTGGAATATTCGAGGCCTCAGAAGTAATCGGGATTAGCTTCAGGTGTTGCTCACCCAGCTTTCCTGTTTGTGTCTGTTTACAAGAACCTAAATTACGTTCTGCTGTTATCCGTCCCATCTCAGGTTATATTTTATTGCATTCATCGGATCATTTTCCCAATGGAACTTTCAGTGAAAGTGCACATCTTGTACACACCAGTGTACCACACCATCAGATCTTTGTTCATACTTTGCTGCATTACACTGCAGCCTGCATCAAGTTAAATGGTATATAGTGTGCTCCCTGTTTCTTTCTCCTTGAGCATTATCTATTCCAGATGTTGCTTTTCTGGTTTTTTCCTTACCACCACCACCTCCTCTTCTGTTATAGGTGATTTTAATACTCATCATTTTTTTCTGGGGATGTCTCACTGTGACTCTCATGGTGATCAGTTGGAGGCTCTTCTCACTTCTCTTCCATGTTTTAAATACAGGTACTCCCACCCATTTTGACCCTCGCACTCAATCTTTCTCAGATTTTTCCTCATCAACTGCACTCGACTTTACCTGGTCTGTGCTCCCAGATGTACATGACAGTGATCATTATCCTATCCTCCTTATTTCCCATTTGTATTCTCACCCTTTCTCGTAGCCCATGTTGGCAATTTGAACGGACGAATTGGGACCTACACTTGCATCAAACTGTTTTTAGTAAGGAACCTTCTTTGTCCTCTGCTGATGAGCTGTCAACTGTGTTTCCCATTGGGCCATTACTCATGGGTTTAAATTTTGTTGCTAAAAAGCACCAAATTACTTTCACCAGACGTTCTATTGTCTCTGATGCTCCATTGTACCTGAACATGATAGTCAGATTTCTCGGCCTTCTGTTTGATCGCCGACTGTCCTCGAAACCTCACATTACCTCCCTGAAAGCAACTTGTAATATTTGTCTAAATCTCCTTAAAACCCTCGCTCATCTTTCACGGGGGCAGATCACAGAACTCTCTTTTGACTGTATTCAGCCCAAATTTTATTGAAACTAGACTATAGTGACCAAATATGTTCTGCGGTTTCTCCCGCAACTTTTTCTAAACTTGATATCATCCATCAGGGAATACGTTTATGTTCTAAAGCCTCTGACAGTGTCAGGTTTGCAGCAGTGTTCTCAGACAGCGTTGTGCATGGTCATTTATTATACTCTGCTACCATTTTTACAGCTGAACCGTATGCAATTCTCATTGCATACAGTTTATAGTAGTCTCAGACTCCTTTAGTGCTTTGCAAGCTATTAAAAAATTTGATTCACCTCATCCCCTAGTTCTTTGTATATAACTTTGATTGTGCCGCATTTCTAGCAAAAACAAAGAAATAGTTTTCTGCTGGGTCCCTCATCGTGATATTCAGGGCAGTGAGCAGGCGGACTCTGATGTGCAGTTGATGGTACATGACCTCCCGGTTTCATATAGAGGTATTCCATTCTCAGACTATTTTGCTGTAATTTCTAACCAAGTTTAGGTTTCTGGTCTTCACGCCATCGATGCTGAGGCTGGGAAACTATGCCTTCCCGTCTTAAGGGTATCTCATGGAGAGGCACCCTGTTCCACTCAGAACTGTCAGGTTCCAATTTCAGTCTGCCATATTCTATTGGATTGTCCTATCAACAAGTACACAGAATTTACCTCAACGTCGTCGTTGCTCTAACACCCTCCTTCATGACGGCCCCACCTTTGACTCAAGATTCCCTCTCAACTTTTTGACAACAACCTATTTATTACATGAACTTTGATAATACTTCCTTTAGCACTCCTCACATCCCTTTCTATCTCTACCTCTAGTTATTCTTCCCAACTTTGCTACTGATCCAGCAACACCTTCTGCCTTGTGCTGTATGATCCTACTAGGTTTAGCTCTTGGTTTTGATTATAATCCTCCTCCCATGAGGCATATTCCACTTCTATGAACATTACTTTCTAGTAATGTTGTGGTAGGGGTAAGCAAGTGTTTATGGATTAAAACCCTTCAAGGGCCTTTCAATACAAGGAATTAACCCAACCCTCCTCATAAACCTAATTGTATCAGAATCCTACCTAAGTGCTTTATTACAGTCAAAACTAAAACACACAAGGGTCAAAGTGCTGCTTCCCAGGTGCTGTATAACCCCTTACAGATTTAGCATTTCCCCATGAATGTATTAAGGTATTTTAATTGGTAGCAGACGAGGGCTACTGCTAAGCTTATAGGTGTCTTAGACCCTGACAAATGGGATTATTATTATAATCAAGGGGGAAGCGCTAAACCCGGAGGACTATACAGCGCCTAGGGGGGGGGGGGGATGTGGAAGGCATTCAGGGAACTGGAGCACAGATCCAATTCCCTAAATCAAGAGCCCCTCACCAACATCAAGGAACCTTCCTTGAGGGGTGACAAATGGGAGGTATTCAGGTATCATCTAAGAAAGGGAGAATAAGTCTAGTTCCTTGGCTGAAGATTCCTCTTGCCAATATCAAAATACATCCCATGAAAATTACTACATGTATAATCAAAACCAAGCACTAAACTGTTCCCTTGATTTATTATATCATGGGGGAGCACTAAACCCTTAGGATTATACAGTGCATGTGGGGGGGGGGGGAGGTATTGAGGCTCAGTTCAGGGAACTGGAGCACAGATCCAATTCCCTAGATTAAGAGCCCCTCACCAGTATCAAGAAACCTCCCTTGAAAAAAAAAATATTAAAGTATTATAAATAATAGAAAACCTGAAAAGAGAAGGGATACCAAAGGGTAGGAGAATGCAAGAGTAAAATTTAAAGCTCATGCAGTAGGCATGTGCACCAAATGGGGACTTTGATAGATTTTTATTATAATCAAAAAGAAGCGCTAAACCACAAGGGCTATACAGCGCTGCAGGGCAGGGAAGGAATGCGAGGGTATCGGGTAGCAAGAGGGAGAGTGATGATTAGGGCATGGACTGCAGGGGTAGCAAAAGATTGAGGTAGAATAGGCTGTGAGAAGTGCTAGAGGCATCATCAGAGTTTGTGCAGTAAATCAGTTGCTGTCAGTTGAGCAGTTTGAGTATGTTGGGGCAGCATACACATTGGAAGCAAATCCAGCATGCCCACTGATAAACAGGACAATTATATAAATTATAATCATGGGAGGAGTGCTATAATAAAAAGAAAAAGCGCTAAACCTACAAGGGTCATACAGCGCTGCCGGGCAGGGAGGGATGCAAGGGTATTGGATAGCAAAAGAGGGATGATTATTAGGTCATGGAGTGCAGTGGATAGTGCAGGGGTAGAGGGTAGCAAGAAATTGAGGTAGAAAGGGCTAAGGAGTGCTATAGGCATCAGAGTTTGTGCAGTAAATCAGTTGGTTGGGGGAGCACTAAACCCATAGGATTATACAGTGCACAGGGTGAGGGGATGGAAGGCATTCAGGCTCAATTCAAGGCACCGAAGCACAGATCCAATTCCCAATTCCTCGAGATGGACAGACAGGACAATCTACCAAGATAGATATGATGAACTATCAGTCCATTAGTAGTGCCAGCCATTTCTCCATGTGGCATCCAAGCAAATTATTAATGTCTGATATGTGAGAGAGGGAATAGTCTTCTAAACATGACAGTGGTGAAAAGATGGCCATAATCCCAAATGGGATTTGATATTGCAATCTAAACATTAAATCCACAAAGGGATGTACAGCACTGATAGGATTTGATTATTATAATCAAAAGAAGCACTAAACCACAAGGGTTATACAGCAATAGGATTCGATAGAAAATTTCTTGGGGTCCAACTCGGACCAACATCACTGCCAGCGGTTGCAGTCAAGAAATCAAGGATTAAAAAAATTTTATACAAGGTAAATGAAAACCTCTTAATCTGCAATATTTTATTACTGAATCCTAACCTCACTAAATGTCTAGACGTGTGTGCTACCGCGTGGTCGGGTGAGGACTGGGTGGTGAACTGACGTCAAGAGTAATAATGATAATGACCATTGCACGGGGCACAGAGACACTTTGTACTGCTGAGGACCGCCACCAACACTAGCCCAAACTTAAAGGGACAGACCACTTAACCCTAGTGCTGAAATACCTACAAAATTTGTTCCTGTTCCAGCCTGCCCTCAAACTTGGCTCTAGCTGCCCTCTGATTTAGGACACTTTAGTGCCTAAAGATTTCTAGAATAAAACTCAAATAAAATATGAATACTACAACTAATCTACACTATCACTTATGCAGTTACCCAGTAAGTGGGATTTTTGAACAAGGAGTAAGTAAAACAAGTTACAGTAAAACTTTCCTAGTTAGGAATGATAGCCCTGCAAGAGACTTGAGTGAGGTCATGGTTGAGGGCTGGCTCGGACTGGCCATGGAACCACCAGAAAAATAAACCTTTACAGAGAGTGTTACCACAGCCTTAACTATAATGCAGGTATTTAGCCCAAACTACACCGACATTTTAAACTTAGTGTTTAGAAAATATCTTTAGTGAAGATAAATCATGATCTTTCTAAAGGATTAGAGTATAAGTGAATACTAAGATACTGAAAAAAATCACATATATATATATATATATACACAATAAGGACTGTACTATACTAACTTGGACTAATATATTGAGGTTTGTGCAAGAGAATGTCTAATCTAAGACAGGTTGGTTTAATGACCTCTGAAAATTTTGTAATGACTGGATTTAATATTGCAAGCTTCATAGAAAAAATTGAGGTCACTGAAAAACCATCCTCAATCTACAAAAAATGATATGTAACATATGAGTGAGAGAACCCATGATCTGTAAAAAAATAAATTTAAATCAGATGAAAATGTGGTATGGGCTGCCAGGGTAGGTGGGACTGTTACGGTTGGGCGGTCATGTACCAAGTCGGCACAAGCGGACTCACTGGAGCAGACTAGCCTCCAGTGTTATGAAGGACAGGACACATCTAATCCAAAACCAGTTACAAACATTCTCACTACACATTATGCCTTACAAAAACAACAAAGAAGGTTGTAGGCTACAAATATAAAGCAGTCAAACATTTGTTCATATGCCTCTATAAGAGGTCCTGTGTATATAAAACTTTACTTGAGACCTAACATTAGAAAATCTTTAACAAAAGGTTGACAATTTTGATGGCAGTCATTTGTAGCCTGTGTTATTTTAGAATAGTTGCAAACTGTCACCAGAGTATACCCAAAGATCCGCTGACTAGGTGCTTCAAGAAGCCTCTCAACAGTTACAAACAATCCGTAACCTTCATATAGCTCTGTCTAGATTAATTACACCAGTCTTTATATAAAAAATAATTTGTTTAATGAAACAGGAAAATTACCACAAATGAGAATAAGCTAAGCATAGCCCCTCTTTTTACTAAAAGCAAACAGTTGTAGAGAAACTTTTCTTTCAAATCTCCAAATTTAAAGAGTATCACCAGGTGATCACAACGCCTGCTGGCACTGGACAATGATGCACAGCTACAATACTGGCTACACACTACTACCCAGGAAAACTAGAAAATGCACCCTGTTAAAATGCATCCGCAGCTACAATATAAGGACAAAGTACCATAAAAGCCAGTCTTCATACAATTTAGAAATTAAATATACAAGCCATACCCTTCCCTTGCTCCCAGAACAACTTCCAATGGGTAATTTAAATTTTCTGTAGGGAGTAGCCAGTAGTGGTTGTTGGTATTGTGTCAATAGTGAGGAAAAGTGTATCCATCACCTATGTTGTATGGAAAATGTACATATCTTTCTTCCTCAAACACAAGCCAGACTCTGGTACAACCACTTGCATAAATTTCAAAAGTAATGAAGATGTAAATACACTTTAGTACATACCGCTGATAGCTTCAGTGTTATTACTGACCTTAATTATAATATATCCTACACATTCCAAAGATATAAACTTGTGAAGCTGAACTAAAACATCTGACATGTACCTGAAGATCATGTAATCCAGGTTAAAGGGTAATTAACTGATAGTATATTCTCATTTTAGGAACACATTCTAAAGACAAACCTTAATGACATTTATTTTTCCTGTTTATGGTATCAATTGTATGATAAGCATATTTACAAACTTCAGTATAATTAACAATGTATAGCAAGAAATCTGATTAAATTTGTTATATAATTTGCAAGTTAAAATTTATTAGAGTGCCTCTCCAATGTTTTAAGTTCAAAAATTACTGGCATCTTTACCAAAAAGTATTGATCACAGAGGGAATGCCACAGGGAACAAATGACAAACCGTAATGTGTACACAACAAAAAAAAAAAAAAAAGGGTGGAGCTGTAACTCAATGCTGAATATTAAATTGAAAAAAAATGTATCAAATATCAGTCAGTTGAACAAAAGCAGCCAAATGCATCCAAGCTGATAAATTTGGAAAAGGACTGGTCCAGTATTGTACAGGAAAATCTCAATCTTTGGTGCTTGTAAGTGTCAGAAAAGTGGGCTAAAACATGCAATTACTATATTATAAAATGTTGAAGATCCATTCACATTTCATGGAAAGGATTATTAAAAAATAAAAAGCCATAAGTTGCCCTATTATAGATTCTTCTCTTGTCTTTCATTGAAAGCAAAACAATCATACTCCCTTTCATAATTGCAGATAATTATGTAAACTATTATATCTATCAATAGATATGTCAATTGGTACTTTATATAACATGTCATAAATAAAGGAGTAAACTGTATTTTTGCTGTTTTATAAATAATCTAACCTAATCTAAGAAAGAACTGAAGGGCCACTCATGGCTGACATTGAATGACACTTCTAAGCACAAATGATCAGAGCAATTTGTAGCACACCTGCTGACACATTCTTGAAGCATTCAACTAATCCCCAGGTACACACAAAAGATGAAATATAACAGAACAGCAAAGCAGCAAAGAATGCTGTATGTCCAATGTTCACAGTGAGTGTTTCAGATGTTTAAGGAATGAGGAACAGCCCTGTGGAAGGAAAAGTGGCACAAGAGGCATGGGCTGGATATTTTCTTAATATAACTACCAGATGAAGAGTAAGCGGGCTGAAAAAAGACAATGCTGGAAACTTTATGTTGAATGTCAATGCAAGTCGAGTAACTAGTTTTTTTTATGATGTGTAATTACTATGGGATGTATATTATTAAGTTTTGATCTGTGGGAGGAAGAAAGTGCAGTTGCAAAGAAAAAAAAACGTGAGCGATGAAAACAGCCAACTGTACAGTGGTGAAGAGGCTGTGGGTGGCTTATGCTAGGTATGACAAAGTGGAGGTGGTAGTGAATGATGCAGGTGGCTGGTGGTATATGATGCAGGTGGGTGATGTATAATGCAGGTTGCAGTGGTATTGATTATGGCAGTGAGGCAAGATACAGATATGAAAAATGAGAATGGTCCCAGCCCCAAAAACATACACTGGAAAGTCTAATAATGTGGCAAAATAATGATCAACTTTAGAAAATGATGGTGAGCAGGAAAAGCAAGCCAAAGGTATTGGGGATAAGTGGAAGGTTAGGAGGTAGGGAAGCTGGGCCCATTAAAACACACGAATGAGATCGGGGTGGCTAAAGCTCTTGTGATCGTCCTGCAGGCGACACAAACAAGCCTGGAAGCCAAAGGCGAGTTAAGGGGCACAGATTTTTTCTTTTATCAGACCTAAATATCAGCTCTATTTTTGTACAAGTTCCAGCCCCACTTACTTTAAGATCTGTTTTACTATATCCATTCATGCATAAAACCTCATACCTTAATGCTTTTTGTACAGTGACACCCATAAAATGACTATTATCTAGGCTCATTAAAAAAATGAAAATGTCCCAGTGCCACAGAAAATGCTCTTGTAGTGTGTGCTCCTTAAAACACATGAACAAGGCCTCATTGGTCTGGCAGGTGATAGGGGAACTGCTGCATGGAGCACAACATATTATGAAGGGACCTACACAGTTTCTGGTTTTCATGTCCCTCAAGATGAAGATCCTGAGGTGAAGCCCAATGTTCATTTTTCCATCACAATTTATAGCCAAAAATGAATCTGGGCAAATTTCCATCAGAGGATGTGAAAATCTTCATGGAATCACAGGTATCCCTGTTGTAAACTTCTGGTACGGACTTGGTGTGCATCTGGTAATAAAGCTTCAAAGACCACTGATGAGTGGCCTGTGCCCCCAAGATGTGTAGTTTGGAGGAATTGCTTGCCACAGGCTACCTGTGGAGGAGGCCATTTGGGTGGTTATTGGCCATAGATACGGGTCGCATCTCAAGTTGTACTAGTAGAGAAAAATGATCTGAAACAAAAACACCATATGAATAGAACACTGACATTAAAAATGTGTGTTGCTTCAAGTATGCTACATAACTGACAAGATAGAGAAATCACCTTAAGGCAATAGAGGGAGATACTGCAGGTCTCCTACCTCCAGAGCCCTCATATCTACATTATAAACAGTATTAAACAAATTATCTACCGAATTAAAGTGATATAATATATAGTATTGTGTGAAAGAGTGAGTGGGTGGGTAAGAGTGAGTGCATGCAAGTGTGCACTCTATATACACATACACTATCATATATTAAGTTAACAATAGAACTAGGCATTAACCCTTAAACTGTCCAAACGTAGATCCACGTTTGCACTGCTAGTGCTCTGAACGCAGATCTGTTTTATTTTGCATGCTTTCAAATGCAAAAAAAAATTAAATCTACGTTTGGAGCACTAGCGGTGAAAACTTTAGATCTACGTTTGGACAGTTTAAGGATTAAAAAGCAATAAAAAATTAAAATACACGTACAGTATACTCATTACTTACCTTCAAATATTTGTAGTCTTAATGTCGAGTGAGAGGAGAGTAGTATTCATTGTAAGTCGAGTGTGGTAGCTTGCCCGGCTACCACAACTACACATAATATACAACATTTAAAGCACCCCAGTCCAGTGACAAAATGCATATACAGTACACTGGTTACTTACCTTAAAATATATGTAGCCTTAATGTAGAGTGGGAGGTGAGTATTTATTGTAGAAAGTCAGGTGTAGTAGCTTGCCTGGCTACCACACCTACACGAAATATACGACATTTAAAGTGCCCCCAGAGCAATTACACCCCCTCTTCACTTAGCAATGTATTCGTTTACCGACACTTCGGATGCCATCATAAAGGGAGAAGTAATGAATAATTCATGCTGAGAATTGTAAACAAAAGCGTCATGTATTAAGGGGAGTGACGTAATGTTTTCCCTCGCCCGGCTACCACACCTCCATAGTATATAAACAATGTTATATGCTATGTAACGAGTTTCTTATATAATTTTGAAGAAAATATTATAGATGGGTTAATGAAAATGTCTATATTGACGTAAAATTAGACATTTAATGTGCCCAAGAGTGATTATTATTACATAGTAGAGATGTGCTCATGGAGAAAGTAAACAAACCAGGTGGCGCACGCAGTATTTGAAAGATAACTTGCCGTATAAAAAGTTTTGGTCATAATTTGAGAGTGCCGTATTAGCGGAACGCCGAGAAGCGGGGCCCTACTGTACAAAGTTTTTCTTTTATAATTTTGAAAAAAAAAAAAAAAAGATGGATTAATGAAAATGTGTATATTCAAGTAATATACAACATTTAAAGTGCCCAAGAGTGATTACTACTTAGTATTATTATGGCATCTTCAACACTAGCGAGACACTTAGTGATTTTAATGTGTACCTGCACACCAGCACAGTTTAAGTACAGGTACACAAGTATAATTATCAGAGTATATATAAAATACACTAACTTTAAAACACTTGAAATTTTGGAAAGTTTCCATACGTAATCAAAAGACTTGGAGCTCACGGAGGATGTAACCAAACAGATTGGCACACGGACACTAAGAGTGAGTCAGGGAGGGAGCCATATGAACGAATTTTGGTCATAATTTAAAATGTTTGTATTGCCATAAAGCGGGGCCCTCCTGCATCTCTCGCATGCACACATGTATACATGCATGTGCATGAGTGTCTATACAGCCCATTTCCTTCCTGTCTTAAAATTCTATAGTACAATGTTTTATGCTGTAAGTGGTAAGGAAAAAATGTAAAGTACTGGACATATATTCTTAAATAATCTTTTGTTCCATCCATCATGCTATTTTTGTGTTTTTAAAACACTTTCTAGTGGGGGCAGCAATAAATTCTTTTGCACAAGATCACTAAGTTGGCATGTTTTGAATCATGCACAATCATGACTTCTTACCTGATGGGATATGAGGGTGAGGACAACCCATAATCTTGTTCGCTCTGAACCAGTCAGGGTCAATAGGGCCTAAAACACCTAATGACGACATAGTATCAGCACTGTGGAAGATGTAGTCTATAATTCCTTTGAAGTCGTACCTGAAAATCACAAATAAATTTTTTATTAACTATTAAAAATCCTCTAAAATTTATGATAAATCTAGATTGTATATACAGACTCCAAAAATCCAAACTCCATGAATAATGCAAGAAACAGAGAAAAGCTCTTGTCCTTTAAAGTAAAAATGGTTAAATGTGAAACTGAGTCACAGTTCTTTTGGGAGATGATGAAGAAAAGCTGCAGATTGGGGAAGGAATTTGGAAGAATGTGTGAAAGGAGAAAACAGTGAATATAGAAGAGTATAGGTAATGAAAAATTGGATACGAGATTGAAGGAAAGGAGTATAGAAGTAAATTTATTCAGGTACTCGAGAGAGAACATGTCGACAGATGGGTCTGTGAAAGACTAGGTGAACCACCATGGACATGGGAAAAAAAAAATACAGGTGGTGTCTAAGACATCCATATGAAGTTTATCTAGGTACACAAAAAAGGAAATGCAAAGGAGTGGTACCAATACTTTTACAGGGGTGTGAGGCATGGGTTTTAAACAGTTGAGCTAATTTTGATAGTACTGACATCAGCCTAAATTTAGGTGTCAGTAGTAGTGGGTATCAGCTAACTGTGGTGGCACTGGTCTAAAACTAAATATGGGTATTGGCAAAATTTTTGTTTTATGCATAAAATTCAGAGCAGAGGAATCAGACGACTGAGTGGGGGGGGTTACCAAAAGGTAGGATGTATGTAATTATGAAGCCTAGTAAGGGTGGTAGTTATTTGGGTATTTAAAGGATAGAGCAGAATAGGATGACCAAGAGGGTGTATAAATCTGGGGTGAAAGAGTGGACGGTCATCCTGGGAAGGGTTTTAGGAATGATGGAAGAAAGGTTTCAAGTACTAAGGGCATGAACCTTCAACATGCTTGTGTGAGCATGTTAAATCAGAGTGAATGGAGAAGTTTTTTTTTTTTATGGCTTCAAATGATGCTCTTGCACTAACAAGGTAACATTTACAAAGGGATTGAGAATCGGTTAACTAGACGAGGCTTCAAGGAAGGAAAGAACAGTGCCTGCACAATGAAGTAGAGCTGTGGATGTTGCAGTATGGAGAATCACTGATTTCTGTATACTTTTGGCAAGACAAACCTAAACAATGAAGTCTCACTGTCTAACAAGAGACTTAGCAGATGGTGCAAAACAGCTCCACTAAAAAGCAGGGGTGCAACAAACGCACTAAGGGAACAGAGTATCAAGACATCCCCAACTCTTTAATGCCCTCTCCATACATACAGGGAATTACTAATAAACCTCTGGCACTTTTCAAGAGGGAACTGGACAAGTTCCTCAAATCAATGCCTGACCAGCTGGGCAGTGGTTGGCACACTGAACTGCATGCAACAATCAGTAACAGCCTGGTTGATCAGGCCTTGATCCTGGTCTGGGACTGGGGTGCAGGGGCACTGACCCCTGAAAAAGTCCTTCAGGTAACTTTTTCAGGGGGCGAGGAGGGTTACTCTACATTGGGAAATGGCCGGTGTTAAAAATAATAAACTGGATACCCACTCTAGGGTACAGCCTTTCATTAATGTTTTTGCTTGTATGGTCGATAGCTATACTATATAACCTTAACAAGGATGAAAAACATTTTTCTATGAAATGAAGTTCTTCAGATACTATATTCCTCCTCATTTTCATGTTTACTCTTTTAAAATTTTTCTTTACTGCATAGTGCAAGTTTTTTTGCACAAGAGTTAATCATCCATTTAGGCTTATGTGCATTTTCTTTTACTAACAGGGATCACACATCAGGAAATGGAAAATACTTCCAAAATAAATAGAAGGAACCACTTATCATTTATGAGAAAATGCAAGTTAAAGAGTGCAGGCGATATTCCATATTAGTTAAACTACAGTGGAACCTCCACTTACGTGTGCCCCAACATATGAGTTTTTTGAATTACGAGCTGTCGCTTGGTCAACTTTCTGCTCTGAGTTATGAACCTCAGAAAGGCGCCACTAGCTGGCAGAGCGAACTCCACAGCATCCCTTCAGCAGTGCACATGTTTACCTCGCTGTGGAACCATTTCTCGTGTTGTGCTAGCATTTTGTGCAGTTATTTTGCCAAATTTCTTTTTTCTAACCATGGTCCTAAGAAAGTAAGTGCAAAGGACAGTGCTAAGAAGAAAATGATGATGATGTCCAATGAATTAAAAAATGAAATCATAGATAAACACAAGCAAGGTGTGCTGGTTGTGGACTTGGCCAGGCAGTACCAACGTAGTACTTCTACGATATGTATGATATTAAAGCAGGAGTCATTGATAAAGGCTATAGCACCAGCCAAGCGATAAAGTAAAGCATTAAGAGTGTAGCAAACGGCCTATCTTTTCCACCCTCCACCTCTGCCAGCATCTGTTCTCCAAGGTAAATACGTACACTTTATAAAACCAGTTTATTTCTTTACATTCTCTATTATGTTTTTATACAATATCTTATTTATAAATACACTGTTTCAGTGTTTTCATCGTGAAACTAGTGATCTAGTGCAGTTAGCCTTGCAAACACTCCATTTTCATAAGGAGAAGAATGATGGTGAAAGTTTTTCTTTTTCGGGCCACCCTGCCTTGGTGGGAATCGGCCAGTGTGATAATAAAAAAAAAGAATGGGAAAATATGGTCAGAGCGGGAGTGGCCGCCACCACTCGTCACAATGACATTTTATTCATTCTAGAGTATATATCATGTTTCTATGTTATTTATATTGTTTATTATTTCACGTTAGATCAATTGTGATAGATAAATAAGCCGCAGAGTTGATATTAGTGTTATATTGAAGTATTTTCTCCTGCCTCCCAAGAGCAGGAATTCCGCTGGAATGGATTAATGGCATTTCAATTAATCTCAATGAGGAAAATTGATTTGATATATGAGCAAATCGAGTTACGAGCTAGGTCACGGAATGGATTAAACTCTAAAGTCAAGGTACCACTGCATAAATATAAAAAAAAAAGGACCATAAAAGTACTATTGTTATCCATAGGAGAAATACAATTAAGGATGGAAAGAGTACTATTGCTATCAGTGTTCACCCTTCTTATGGTGAAAGCCAACCTTCAATGCTGTTTTCTCTCATACTAACCATGAACTGTGTGTCGTACCAGACATTCAGACTGCACTGATTTGGAGAAAAGGTAATGGACTCAGTTTATTTTATGCAGTTATCTTCAGTCATGAGAAGGGAATAATAGAATGCAATCAGACTAAATTAGAATGTTCACTACACAATTAGCCACTACCATAGGCTAACTTCTTCCTATGCAGGGAGCTTACCTGTTCAACAGATACACAACGTATGAAACTTACGTATAATTGGTATACGCCATAATAGAGAAGTCATACGCTGCAGCAAGTCGAAAGGAGTGGGTGTAGATATTAGCACTTGAATTAACCAAGGAATTATTGCTCTTGGTCATTGCTATCTTCTGCAGGCAGGTTTTGTACCCAAAGCCCTTGAAGTCTTCATGGTCCATAGAAACACTGCCTTTTGTTAAGAACTCAACAACACCTGAAATGTCAATTATTTGGATTTAGAGAGCACTGATTGTATCCGACTGTTCTTGATATTGATTTTTTTTTATAATGTTATGCACTAACTAAAGGAGGCATCAACACCAATATTCCTCTATTAAACAATGGATTCATCTCTGCAGAGTACACATTTTTTTTAATTTCATTATGAACAAATAATATATATAAGATAAGGAATATCATCATCTGTCCTCATCTCAAATTATAATACAGGCATCTATGAAAAACTGCAATTTGCTTAATATACTACAGTGGAACCCCAGTTTTCGAACTTAATCCATTCCAGAAGGTCATTCGAAAACTGAAACGTGCAAAAACTGAATCAATATTTCCCATAAGAAATAATGTAAATACAATTAATCCATTCCAGATACCCAAACATTTTTTTTTTTTTTTATCACACCGGCCGATTCCCACCAAGGCAGGGTGGCCCGAAAAAGAAAAACTTTCACCATCATTCACTCCATCACTGTCTTGCCAGAAGGGTGCTTTACACTACAGTTTTTAAACTGCAACATTAACACCCCTCCTTCAGAGTGCAGGCACTGTACTTCCCATCTCCAGGACTCAAGTCCGGCTGCCGGTTTCCCTGAACCCCTTCATAAAATAAATTTTTTAAAGATTAACTATAATATTGCAGTTCTTCAGTGGTTAGCTCTTCCCTGTGGTCATCCACCAACTCTTCCACATTCATTACTTACTTGAAAATATTTAATGTAGGCAAGAGGTGAGTAGTACTTTTTTGTAGGAAATCATTGACTTTTTTGGGTTATCCTAGGTTCTCTATACATGCTGCTATTTATTTATTTATTTATTTATTATTATTTGGACATGATACATGGTTATACAAAAGAAATACAGTGGTTGAGTGTACATGCCAAAAGCCTTACTTACTAAGTAGCCAGTAGATGTAGGTAGCCAGTAGAGGTAGGAAGCCGTAGGTAGCCTGGCCTACATACATACACCTACCTACATAGCTACACAATATATAATGCGGCCCAGAGCCATATTATTACCATCAACATACCTAGTTCACCGAGTTTAATCATTTCCTAACAACTACCTTTAGATGCCATCATAAGCAAAGGGAGAATTAATGAATAATTCATGCTGAGAATTATAAAAAAAGCTAGATGCACATTCATACAGTTTTCTTTAATGCTTGACCAGAGAAAAAGAGAAAACAATATTTTCCCTCCACCGACTACCACCCTTTGATGGCATATAAACATTACACATTTATACTATGCTATGTAACGTGTTCCTTATTTAATTTTGAAGAAAATATCATAGATGTATTAATGCAAATGTCTATATTAACGTAAAATAAGACATTTAATGTGCCCAAGAGTGAGCCACAAATGTATGAGCGGCCCAGGCGGATGCTTCTGATACGCATGATTTCTGGATCAAGGTTTGATATCCAGAGCAAAATTTCACACAAAACATGGTTCTAAAACCAAATCATCCGATAACTGGGGTGTGCGAAAACCAAGGCTCCACTGTAAAAGTTTCATTTAATGAACCTATCCTCCAGTTCCTCTCTAGGTTATTCAGCAAGAGTATAGCACTGACACCTACTGAAAGTAAAAATACTGCATATGTCACATTTCCTTAGCAGTACTCCAAAATAAATTATATTACACACACACACAAATACCAGAATTCCTATTGCTGAATTCATTCTGTATTATTCAAGTTCCTGAAGGTACATTTTATAGTTCTTAGTGTACGATTCAAAAGAACAAGACTACACAAATAACCCACACATAAGAGAAGCTTATGACATCCTTCGAGTCTTACTACTCTTGGAGCCCAGCCCCTCTGGTGCTTGCCTGGTCAACCAGGCTGTTGCTGCTGGAGGCCAGCTTCCCCACATATCCATTACAGCCTGGTTGATCTGGCACCTGGTGAAGATACTTGTCCAGTTTTAACTTGAAGACTTCTACACTTGTTCCAGCCATGCTTTGACATCTCATAAGATGCTGAATAGTCGGGGGCCACGAATGTTGATGCAGTGTTCCCTTATTGTGCCCACTGCATCCCTGCTCCTCGCTGGGTTATTTTGCACTTCCTCCCATATTTCTCACTCAGTATGTTATGGCAGTGTGCAGATTTGGGACCAGGCCCTCGAGTACTTTCCAGGTATATATTATCATGCATCTCTCCTCTGCTCCAGTGAGTATATGTTCAAGACTAAGGAGTTCCCAGTAATTTAAATGCTTTACTGGCTCTATGTGAACCATAAATGATTTCTGTATTTGTTCAAGCTCTGATATTTCACCTGCCTTGAATGGGGTCAACAACACTGAGCAATATTCCAAACAAGGGAACACTAGTGATTTGAAGTCAAAACTGGCATTATTTCCCTTGTTTTGAAAGTTCTCAATACCCACCCTGTCATCCTCCTGGCTGTTGTGACCTTTGTCTTATGTTCTCTGAAAGAAAGGTCAGCTGACATAATTATTCCCAAGTCTTTTACATGTCCCTTTCGTTCTGTTTGATGATCCTCTTGAATTTTGTATACTGTTCCTTTTGCGTTCTTCATTCTTTCTATACCTAAGCAGTTGGAACTTATCACCAATGAACATCATGTTCTCCACTGCCCACCGGAAAACACTGCTTATATCTTCATGTAATTTTTCAGCGTCTTCTACCGTAGTGACTTTCATGCTTATTTCGGTGTCATCTGCAAATGATACATAACTGTGACAGGTGTTTTTATTTATACAGTAGGGCCCCGCTTTACAGTGTTCCACTAATACAGACATTTCAAATCATGACCAAAGCTCACTATACAGCTCCCCCCACCTGACTTTCTAATACGGTCACCACGCCCCACCCGATTTTTTTACATTCTCCGTGAGCACGGTCTCTCTCCATTATGTCTGGAAACTTTCCAAAATTTCAAGTGTTTTTAAAAGTTATTTCATATTGTATATATACTCTGATAATTATACTTATGTCTACCTGTACCTAAATATACTTACACACTGTGCTGGCATACAGGTACACATTAAAATCAGTAAGTGTCTTCTGTCTCGAGATGCCATATTAGTAGTAATAATAATCATCACTGAGTCTCATTAAATGTCAAATATTACATTAGTATACATATTTTCATTAATCCATCTATGATATTTTTTCAAAATTATATAATAAACATGACATGCAACATATAAACATGATAAATACATCACACAGTAGAATAAATTAACAAATATGAGATGAGGTAGCCAGACGACTTGTAGGAGTGATGGCAAGAATAAAGTTTTCTCTAGTCCAACATCAGAGAAAATGTGTTACTGGGGGTAACTGTAGAAAACCATTGCTTTCGTATGCCTTTGCTCAGAACATCATTTCTTCTAAAAATGGTGTTGAACGAGAATGGGAGTGTTTCTCTTTATTTAATTCTACTGTATCAACATGGAGACAACCTGTACACAATGTAACTTGTACACAAATCAGATGCGTACACCTGGTTTGTTCACAAACTCCATGCCTGTCCTCTCTCATTCTCTCTCCCTCTCATTCTCTCTCCCTCTCTCATTCTCTCTCCCTCTCTCATTCTCTCTCCCTCTCTCATTCTCTCTCCCTCTCTCATTCTCTCTCTCATTCTCTCTCTCATTCTCTCTCTCATTCTCTCTCTCTCTCATTCTCATTCTCTCTCATTCTCATTCTCTCTCTCTCTCATTCTCTCTCATTCTCTCATTCTCTCTCATTCTCTCTCTCTCTCATTCTCTCTCTCTCTCTTCTCTCCTCCTCTCTTCTCTCTCTCATTCTCTCCCTCATTCTCTCTCCCTCTCTCATTCTCTCTCTCTCTCTCATTCTCTCTCTCATTCCTCTCATTCTCTCTCTCTCTCATTCTCTCTCTCTCTCTCCTCATTCTCTCTCTCTCTCATTCTCTCTCTCTCTCTCTCTCTCATTTCTCTCTTCTCCTCTTCATTCTTCTCTCTCTCCTCTCATTCTTCTCTCTCTCCCCTCATTCTCTCTCTCATTCTCTCTCTCTCTCTCCTTCTCCTCTCTCTCTCTCATTCTCTCTCTCTCTCTCATTCTCTCTCTCTCTCTCATTTCTTCTCTCTCTCTTCTCTCATTCTTCTCCTCTCTCTCTCATTCTCTCTCTCTCTTCTCTCTCTCTCTCATTCTCTCTCTCTCTCTCATTCTCTCTCTCTCTCTCTCTCTCATTCTCTCTCTCTCATTCTCTCTCTCTCTCATCTCTCTCTCTCTCTCATTCTCTCTCTCTCTCTCATTCTCTCTCTCTCTCTCATTCTCTCTCTCATTCTCTCTCTCATTCTCTCTCTCATTCTCTCTCTCTCTCATTCTCTCTCTCTCTCATTCTCTCTCTCTCTCATTCTCTCTCTCTCATCTTCTCTCTCCTCTCTCATTCTCTCTCTCTCTCATTCTCTCTCTCTCTCATTCTCTCTCTCTCTCATCTTCTCTCTCTCTCTCATTCTCTCTCTCTCTCATTCTCTCTCTCTCTCTCTCTCTCATTCTCTCTCTCTCTCATTCTCTCTCTCTCATTTCTCTCTCTCATCTCATTCTCTCTCTCTCTCATTCTCTCTCCTCTCATTCTCCTCTCCCTCTCATTCTCTCTCCCCTCTCATTCTCTCTCCCTCTCATTCTCTCTCCTCTCATTCTCTCCCTCTCATTCTCTCTCTCCTCTCATTCCCCTCTCCCTCTCATTCTCTCTCTCTCTCTCTCATCCTCATTCTCTCTCTCTCATTTGTTTTATCTTGTTTACTCACCTCCGACCCTACATTAAGACTATAAATATTTTAAGGTAAGTAATGAGTGAACTGTATATGCATTTTATCTCTCTGGGATGCTTTAAATGCCATAGAATATTGTGTGTGGGCAGGGTGGCCTGGTATATTAGCCTGGCTAGCTTCCATATATACCACACTTTATTTCTTACAATAAATACTACTCATCTCACCCTACATTAAGACTACAAATATTTTAAGTAATGAGTGTACTATATGTTTATTTTACTTTATTGTTTTTTAATGCCTAGTTCTATTGCTAACTTAATATATGTTAGTGTAAACTTGTTTTTTAGTATTTATATGCATTTATAAATGGAAAAAAAGGGTGTTCCACTTTATGGCGATAGCCTGGAACCTAACCTGCCATGCAAATGGGGCCCTACTGTATCTGCTATGAGGATGAGAAAATGCAGAGGTGCCAGGGCAGTACCTTGGGGAACTGAGCTTTTTACCTCGCTGATGCTGGATTTTGCCGTTCTCCTCCTTTGTGGTGTGTGTGTGTGTGTTAGGAACCTGAAAATCCATCTGCCTACTTTCCCCCTAATACCTATGGCCCTCATTTTGTGTGCTATCACTCCATGATAGCATTTGTCAAATGCCTTTGCAAAACCTGTGTACAGTCTCTCCTCACTTGGCAATGTACTCATTTACCAACAACTCTGACTTACAATGGGCTCTCTGACCAGTATGCATACCTAAATAATGTATATTAGAGCTGATTTCCTATATTCTGTTTATTACAACATACAGACACTACTGTATAAACATTTTAAAAATATACTAAAAATATTATAAATGGAGCAAGGTGACATTAAAACAACATAAAAGATGGTTGACAAACTCACTACCATTGAAGTATGCTCCTTAAGGTTAAGTGAGGAGCTGTATATCACATCTGTGTTTTGGTCACCTTCCAATGCCTCTACTTCTGTCATGGTGGTTCAGTAGCTGTGACAGGCATGATTGTCCTGCTCTAAAACCATGCTGGTGTAGGTTATGCCGATTGTGCTGGTCCATGAAATTTGTGATCTGCTGTCTCCTTACTCTTTCAAAGATTTTTACAATGTGGGATGTCAGGGCTACTGGTCTAATTTTTAGCTAGTGCTCTACTACCTCCTTTATGCAAAGTAGCTATGTCTGCACTCTAAGGTATCTGGCATTTCACCTAGATCTAGGCTCTCTCTCCCAAGAATACTGAGGGCTCCTGCTAGTGATACTGTGCACTTTTTTTTATAATTAGAGCATTCCATGAATCTTGTCTAGGAGCTGAATGAGTGGGCATGTTATCCATTTCTTTTTCAAAATCTATGGGATCTGTACTAATGTCAGTTAGCTGGTCTGCACAGCCTTCTGCTGGAGTGAAAAATGTTTCTGCATTCTCTACCTTGCTGTCATTTAGCGGGTTGCTGAACACCGTCTCATACTGTTCTTTTAGAATTTCACTCATTTCCTGTTCATCAGTATACGAATCTCCTCTCAATAACGGTCCAATTCTTAACTTGAATTTTGCATGGGAATATAAATATTTTGGGTTTCTTGCAATATCCTCCTGTATGGCCTTTTGTTCCCTTTGTACTTCTGTTTGGTGTGACATCCTAAGATTTTGCTCTAATTCAGTGATATCTCGGCTAAGGCTATATCTATCCTCCGTTGCGACATATTTGTGTTTTTAAGCAATTCAGTAACCAGTTTTCTTCTTCTGTACCATCTCCTACACTCTGTCTGATCTTTTGGACTTCCTCAATGGCGTGTGTGTGTGTGTTTAACACAGACCTTGTAGGCTTCTACATTCAGCTCTGCCAAGCACTGGTGAAGACTGGTGTTCATCTCTGATTCCCAGGATATGTCTGATAGTTCTCGATTTATTTTTTCCCCAGTCAGTTCTATGGTTGTTGAAATTAAACTTGCTGAACATCCCTTCTCTTACATTATTGCTGCAGTTCCCTAACTCTGAGTTAATACTAGTTTGTACTTTATGATGATGTGGTCAGTGTATTGTTTTTGTCATTGTTACGTCTGATTAGTTCCTAATGGTTGGTGTATATCAAATCCTGGGTATTTTCATTTCTAATGGGATCAGTTATCTGTTGGTTCAATAAGGACTTTTCACAAAGCCTCATTAGTTCCCTGGTATGTTCCTGGTGAGCCAGGGTGCTTCCAAGAGATATTTCTGGTATAACATTGTTGAGCCATCTTCCATTTTACATTTGGAAGATTAAAATCTCTGAGGAGTATAATATTTAGTTTGAGATTTTCTAGCCTGTCCAGACAGCTATCTTCCTTAACTGATCTGTGAATTCCTCTGCAGTTGCTGATGGTGGTTTATATACAAGGATAATTACCGAATTCCTATTTTCAACTTTAATGCCTAGAATTTCTACTGTATCGTTCATAGAATTCAGCAATTCTATGCGGGTTACTTGTACATTATTCTAGTCATAGTACAGTACCTTTCTGTTCTCAATAGGACCAGGTATTGGTATAGAACAGTGGAATAGGTTACAAGATAATAAAAAAAAATAGGATACAGCATATTCAATACAGTACTGAACATGGAACACCACAGGCTTAGATCTGCTTCCTCCTGTTGCTACAAACAGGTACAAAAGTATTTTCAGTTATCCTCAATGTGTGTATATTTATCAATTTCTGCTAGAAGTTATTAAATATTTTTTTCTTACACAAATTCATATCCTTCACGCAATCTTGCTTTAAGCTCAAATAATTATATTCATGTGCATATAAAAACCATGAGATGATACAATCTTTACCAATTCAAAATATTGTTCTCAAACTTGCCTGAATCGGGGAGCGAGTTGAGATCACCGCACAAAAGAAGCTGGATTGAATTAGGCTCCATCTTCCTACCCAACCTTGATCTATGTTGAGAGTCTTCAACAATCTGACCAATTACTTGCCGGATCTCACTCATCAACATGATAGTCTGAAAGAAAGTGCTCTAGTCAATATTGTCCAAGTTTCATTTGTAAATGCAGAACAGTCTTTCTGATGCATATGTATGATAATGAAGCAATTATAAATATGGTATATAATGATTAAATTGAAAGCATACCTGGATGAGTTTGACATCACAAAACTCTGGGTCCCAATGGATATGAGCCGTACACACTAACACAGCCTGGTTCACTTGGGACTTGTCTGGCTGAACCCCTAGAAAGACATTGCACTATTTAATACATACCATAACATTATCAGAGCAATGAAAAGTGTAAATACAAATAAGGTTTGAAGACTTTTTTATTTTTTAACACCTGCCATCTAAAAAAAAAAAAAAAAAAAAAAAAAAAAAAAAAAAAAAAAAAAAAAAAAAAAAAAAAAAAAAAATCTTGTCATGAGCATGTTGTTATCACTGTTGGATGACCTCCCCCCCCCCCCCGCCGCCGCCAAAAAAAAAAAAAAAAGGTGAGGTTTAAACCCATGGCAAGAGTCTCCTATAATTCACAGGCCAGTGCATTAACCACACTGCCAGCTGCCTCTAAGAAGATTCATCCAACTACGTATACAGTAGGGCCCCGCTTTACGGTGTTTCGCTTTATGGCGTTCCGCTAATACAGCGATGTCAAATTACAACCAAAATTTGCTATATGGCAAACGGTCTTTCAGATACGGTGCGCCCCAACGGGTTTGTTTACATTCTCCATGACCACATCAAGTGTTTTACAGTTATTGCGTATTTTATATGTACTCTGATAATTATACTTATGTGTACCTGTACCTAAATATACTTGCACACTGTGCTGGTGTGCAGGTACACATTAAAATCGCCAAGCGTCTCTCTACTCGTGACGCCAATAGTACATAATCATCACATTAAATGTCTTATTTTACATTAATATAGACATTTTCATTAATCCATCTATGATATTTTCCTCAAAATTATATAAGAAACACGTTACATAGCATATAAGCATGATACATAAACTCTCAGAATAAAAATTGACGTTGATAAATTAGACACATGTGCAACTCTTGGGTATCTTTATTGAGGAAACGTTTCGCCACACAGTGGCTTCATCAGTCCATACGTAGGAGAAACTTGAAGAACAGGAGGAGAATGAGGTAATCAGTCCCTCAACCTTGAGTCGATGTGTTCAGTCCATCAATCTTGGGATCTTAATACTTAGGAATTCTTCGCTTGCCTAATTCTTGGGCACGACCTACTTAAACATTGAACAAGTGTGACACCACCTATGACTGCTGCACCTCTCCTGCCATACGGTTTATAAAGCTGCTTCTCCGCTCATATGCCGTATTCTATTCAAGATTGATGGACTGAACACATCGACTCAAGGTTGAGGGACTGATTACCTCATTCTCCTCCTGTTCAAGTTTCTCCTACGTATGGACTGATGAAGCCACTGTGTGGCGAAACGTTTCCTCAATAAAGATACCCAAGAGTTGCACATGTGTCTAATTTATCAACATGTCGGTTCTCTGAACCATTCATCTACAAAAATTGACGTAAATGAGATTTGTTTACAAAGCGGCTGTGTAGGTAGTGTCAGAAGAATTACGTTTTCTCTAATCAAACACTGGGGGATAACTGTAGAACACTATTCCTTTCATATGCCTTCACTCTATATATAGCAATTCACGACCCTTGTGGGTTTAGCACTTTTTTATTATGATATCATCATCATCTTCACTCTAAAAATGGTGTGTTGGATGAGAATGGGAGTGTTGCTGTTTGTTTATTCTGTACTAACTTGTACACAATGTAAGAGTATTTGTATTGTGAGGTAATTATTATAATACAAAAAATATTGAGAGGTAAAAGTTTTACAAACTCTTACAAATGTACGTGAATGAACTAAAAGTAGACACACATCAATACGCATTTATTTCGCCTGACAGTGATCGCCCACTACCGGTTCAGTTTGTGTTCTTACATTGTCTGAACTCTGTATCACGTTCTCTCTCTTGTTCACTCTTTCGTTAACTAGTTGGCTCTCATTGACAATGGCGTCTAAGCTTAGCTGTGATAAAAAGAGGAGTCGTAAGCCTCTTGCTTTAAGTGCCAAGTTAGAGGATGATGGTGTGCCATTCTGATTTTATTCAATAAACACCCTGCCGCTCACCTCTCACACATTAATATTAACATTTTAAGGTAAGTAATAAGTGTGCTCTGTATGTATCTTACCTTTTATTGTGTTTTTAATGCCTATTTCTATTGCTAACTTAATATAAGTTAGTGTAAACTTGTTGTCTGGCATTTATTGCATATTTTATATGCGCTCTGATAATAATACTTGTGGACCTGTGTGGTAGCCAGGCGGAGGGACAACATTACGTTTTCTCTGGTCAGGCACCAGAGAAAACGTGCATGAATCTGCGTTTGGCCCAGCCACTCCCCCACTCCGCTTTTGTTTACAATTTTCAGCATGAATTATTCATTACTTCTCCCTTCGTTTATGATGGCGTCTAAAGGTAGTTGTTAGAAATGATTAAATTCAGTGAACAAGGTATGTCGATGCTAATAATATGGCTCTGGGCCACAGTGTAGCCGGTAGGTGTAGCGGGGCTACACCTACCGGCTACCTACACTGACTTCCTACAAATAAGACAACACATATTTTAAGGTAAATAATGAGTGTACTGTATGTGTATTTTAACTTTCTGGGCTGTTTTAAATACAGGTCTCCCTCAACATTCATGAGGGTTAGGGGATCAAGAGCCTCGCGAATGTTGAAAAACCGTGAATGTTTGGTGCCCCAATATATTGTAGGGAAATATAATACAATACTGCTTCCTTAACTTGTTGAACCATGAACAATCATAAAATACATGAAAACGTCGTAAATTGTACTAAATACATACGTTATGCCTTAACAACATGTATGTTATTAAATACCACTGCCTCCACCACTGCAAGTCCCTACTACCCTCCCTCCGACCCCCACAACTGGCAGCCAGCCCTCCCACCACTGTGTGGTGAGTGTTTTGTTTGTTCATTATTTGCTATTAAACTACAGTATAAATAATGTCAACCCATTTATGACTGCATACTGGAATGGCTATTTGGACAGGTATTGGAAGGTGACATCATGTGTTTACTCTTGAACACAGCAAAGAATCAAACATTTCTGCTAATGCTAATAATGCTAATAATGCTAAAAATGCTAATAATGCTAATAATAATAATAATGCTAATAATAATAATAATAATGTCTGAGGGCAATGTGTGGTGTGAATACAATGCAGAGAATTCGTAGTTTGGAAGTTAGGAGGAGGTGCGGGATTACCAAAACTCTTGTCCAGAGGGCTGAGGAAGGGTTGTTGAGGTGGTTTGGACATGTAGAGAGAATGGAGCAAAACAGAGTGACTTCAAGAGTGTATCAGTCTGTAGTGGAAGGAAGGCGGGGTAGGGGTCGGTCTAGGAAAGGTTGGAGGGAGGGAGTAAAGGAGGTTTTGTGTGCGAGGGGCTTGGACTTCCAGCAGCATGCGTGAGCGTGTTTGATAGGATGAATGGAGACGAATGGTTTTTAATACTTGACGTGCTTTTGGAGTGTGAGCAAAGTAACATTTATGAAGGGGTTCAAGGAAACCGGCAGGCCGGACTTGAGTCCTGGAATGGGAAGTACAGTGCCTGCACTCTAAAGGGAGGGGTGTTAATGTTGCAGTTTAATAACTGTAGTGTAAAGCACCCTTCTGGCAAGACAGTGATGGAGTGAATGATGGTGAAAGTTTTTCTTTTTTGGGCCACCCTGCCTTGGTGGGAATCAGCCAGTGTGATAAAAAAAAAAAAAAAAAAAAAAAAAAAAATAATAATAATAATAATAAATACGATAGAATTGAAGAAGGAAATTGTACAAAAATACAAGGACTGAAGCAGTGGTGGAGGAAGTGGTTGACGCAGCATCAGTGTGGCTTTGTTTATGCTGGAGTGAGTATTAGTCTCTGTGCTCTTCCAAACATTTCACAATAATTCATTGTATTTGGTGCTTGTAGATTGAGTGTGACTGGAGTGGTTGAGGCAGTGGTTGAGGCAGTGGGTGAGGCAGTGGTATTTACTAACTTTTTTTTTTTCAACAAGTTGGTCATCTCCCACCGAGGCAGGGTGACCCAAAAAAGAAAAAATCCCCAAAAAGAAAATACTTTCATCATCATTCAACACTTTCACCACACTCGCACATTATCACTGCTTTTGCAGAGGTGCTCAGAATACAACAGTTTAGAAGCATATACGTATAAAGATACACAACATATCCCTCCAAACTAACATATATGTTATAAATAATAATAGTACATGTTAATATTAATAACATTTATAATAATAATAATAATAAATGTTATTCATAATGTACTATTATTATTTATAAATATATGTTAGTAAATATCACTGCCTCAACCACTGCCTCAACCACTCCAGTCACACTCAATCTACAAGCACCAAATACAATGAATTATTGTGAAATGTTTGGAAGAGCACAGAGACTAATACTCACTCCAGCATAAACAAAGCCACACTGACGCAGCGTCAACCACTTCCTCCACCACTGCTTCAGCCCTCGTATTTTTGTACAATTTCCTTCTTCAATTCTATTGTATTTATTATTATTATTATTATTATAATATTAATATTATTCTTATTATTATTAGCAGTAGCAGAAATGTTTGATTCTTTGTTGTGTTCAAGAGTAAACACATGATGTCACCTTCCAATACCTGTCCGAATAGCCATTCTAATATGCAGTCATGGATGGGTTTACATTATTTATACTGTAGTTTAATAGCAAATAATGAACAAACAAAACACTCACCACACAGTGGTGGGAGGGCTGGCTTCCAGTTGCAGGGGTCGGAGGGAGGGTAGTAAGGACTCGTGGCAGTAAACTTAAATATGATTTGGCAGCTGGGAATTTGGCGGTTGGGAATTCGCGAATGTGTGAAGCCCGCGAAAGTTGAAAACGCGAATGTTGAGGGAGACCTGTATCGTATATTAAGTACGAGACAAGGAGCCAGGGCTACCTACACCTGATTTCCTACAAATAAGTATTACTCACCTCTTGCCCTACATTAAGATTACAAATACTTTATAATAAGTAATGAATGTACTGTGTATGTATTTTGCTTTTTGTGTTTTTAATGCCTAGTTCTATTACTAACTTAATATAATTTAGTGTGAACTTGTTGTCTGCATTTCATGCTTTTAAAAAATGGTAAAAATGGCATTCTGTTTTCCCCAGCACATCTTTTTTTTCTGGCAATAGCCTGAACCAACCCACCATATAAGTTGGGACCCTACGTTTTCCCCTATACACTATAGGGATTAACATAGGCCCCACTGGACCACAAATCAGGTTTTTATGATGAATCCCACACCACATGGCTTGGCAAACAAGCAATCCCCCCAAAGCTGCCATCGAGCCCCACCCCCCCCTCCCCCCTTTTCATGCTTAAACTATCTTCCCCATCTACAAGATTTTAACCTTTTTACTAATTTCCCTTAATCTCTTCAAAAATGTTACCTTGCTCACACCCATGTTTAAATTATAAAAAACATTTTCCCCTCCATTCACTAACTCCATACAACCCGTTGATGCCAAGCCTTCACACTAAACCTCCCTACCCACTCCCCTAACCCTCCTGCAAGAAGTCATATTGCTATCACGCAATTTTGGGAATGAATTTAAAATCAAAAATTCTTAATATCCATTACATCTTCCACTCACTCTCCTACATGTGCATTTATTCTAAACTGCCCCAATTCACAAACCATTTATACCCCCTTTGGTGACCAAGAAATTGAGAATACAACTATAAAAACCATACAAAAACACATCGCAAAGTTGCTGTTTTAAACCAACAACAGTTGTAGTTTTTTCCCATAATGCACTGCGTGCTGCAGGTTTTTTTTTATATGGTACACACTTACCACACAGACCCCCTCTCTCATTTAGGTCCAAATTTACCACTCACAGCTTATCTGAATCAGCCGAACTTGTAGTGCAGTACTACGGCACAGACAGTGACCTCTAGACCTACCTACCTACCTACCTCCCCCTCCCTCCCCTCCCTCTCTCTCTCCTCTCTCCTCACTCTCCCTACCTCTCTCTCTCTCCCTACCTCTCCCTCTCTCCCTCTCTCTCTCTCCTAACCCTCCCTCCCATCCCTACCTACCCCTCCTCCCTCTCTCTTCTACCCCTTCCTCTCTCTCTCTCCCTACCCTTCCCCCTCCTCTCTCTCTCTCTCTCTCCCTACCCCTCCTCCCTCTCTCCCTACCCCTTCCTCCCTCTCTCCCTACCCTTCCTCCCTCCCTCTCTCTCCTCTCTCTCTCTCTCTTCTCTCCTCTAACCCTTCCTCTCACTCTCCTCTCTCCTCTCTCTCTCTCCCCTCCCCCTCCCTCCCTCTCCCCTACCCCTCCCTCCCTCTCTTCCCTACCCCTCCTCCTCTCATCCCTACCCCTCCCTCTCTCCCACCCCTTCTCCCTCTCTCCCTACTCCTTCCTCCCCCTCTCCCTACTACCCCTCCCCCTCTCTCCTCATTACCCCTCCCTCCCTACTCCCTCCCCTTCTCCTCCCTCCCCCTCCTCTGTCTCTCCTACCCCCCCTTCTCTACCCCCCCTCCCTTTCTCTCCCTCCCCCTCTCCTCTAACCCCTCCTTCCCTCCCTCTCTCCCTACCCCCTTCCTCTCTCACTCTCATCTCCCTACCCTTCCCCTCCCTCTCTCCCTACCCCTCCCTCCCCTCTCCTCCCTACCCCTTTCTCTCCCTCCCTACCCTTCCCTCCCTCTCCCTACCCTCCCTCCCTCCCCTCTCTCCCTAACCCCTCCCTTTCTCTCCCTACCCCTCCCTTTCTCTCCCTCCCCCTCCTCTGCCAATCTCTCCTCACCCCTAACCCTCCCTCCCTCTCTCCCTACCCATCCCTCCTCTCCTACCCTTCCCTCCCTCTCTCCTCGCCTCTCTTCTCCCCTTCCCTCCCTCCCTACCCCTCCTCCTCTCTCCTCCTCCTCTCCCTTCCCTCCCTCCCTAACCCCCCTCCCTCTCTCTCTCTCCCTACCCCCCCTCCCTCTCTCTCTACCCCCTCCTCCCTACCCCTCCTCCCTCTACTCCCTACTCCTTCACCTCCCCCCCCCCTACCCCCTCCCTCCCTCCTCATCATTACCCCTCCCTCTCCTCCCTACCCTCCCTTTCTCTCCTCCCCCATCCCTGTCTCTCCTACCCCTCCCTTTCTCTCCCTCCCCTCTCCCTCATTACCCCTCTCCCTCCCTCTCTCACTTACCCCTCCCTCCCTCTCTCCTACCCTCCCCCTCCCTGTCTCTCCTACCCCTACCCCTACTCCCTACCCTCTTCCCTCCCCCTCTCTCCCCCTTCCCCTCCCTCCCTACCCCTCTCCTCATCTCTCTCCCCTCCCTCCCTCCCTCATACCCCTCCCTCCCTCTCCTTACCCCTCCCTCCTCCTCCTTAAACCCCTCCCTACCCCTCCTCCCTCTCTCTCCCTACCCTTCCTCCCCTCTCACCCCACCCCTCCCTCCCCCTCTCTCTTACCCCTCCCTCCCTCTCTCTACCCCCCTCTCCCTCTCTCCCTACCCCTCCCTGTCCCCTCCCCCCCCTGTCTCTCCCCCCCCTCACCTTCTCTCTCCCTACCCTCCTTCTCTCTCCCTACCCCTCCCTTTCTCCCCTCCCAACTTCTCTCACCCCCCCTCCTTCATCCCTACCCTCTCTCTCTCCCTACCTCTCCCTCTCTCCCTACTCCTTCCTCCCCCCCTCCCCTACCCCTCCCTCCCCCTCTCCCCTACCCCCTCCCTCCCCTCTCTCCACCCTACCTACCCTCCCTCCCTCTCCTCCCCCTACCTACCCCTCCCTCCCTCTCTCATTACCCCCCCCTCCCTTCTCCTCCCCCCTACCCCTCCCTTTCTCTCCCTACCCCACCCTTTCTCTCTCCCTCCCCCCCTTCTCCTCCCTCCCCCTCCCTGTCTCTCTCCACCTCCCCCCTCTCCCCCCCTCTCCCCACCCCTACCCCTCCCCCCTCTCCTCCCCTCTCTCTCCCTCCGTCTCCCTACCCCTCCCTCGCCACTCCCCTCCTCCCCTCCCTCCCCCCTCTCCTCTTCCCTCCCTCCTCCCTCCCCTCTCTCTTCCCCTTCCCCCCCCCTTTCTACCCTCCCCCCTTTCTTCCCTACCCTTCCCTACCTCCTCACTTTCCCTTACCCTTCTCTGCCTCTCCTCCTCCCCCTCTTTTCTTTTTTAAACTTAAGTGACAAGACTATAATTCAAAGTCTCTTTCCAGTAATGCAAAGGTTGAAAGTTGTTTAAATGGTAAAATAATACTCAAAACTTTAAATTAGCAAACTACTAATTTTACTACCCAACAAATGTTAAGGTATTAAAAAAATGGATTTACAAAAAATGTAAGTAGACATTCAAAGGCACATGCAAACAAGAACCAGGACAACTGTTTACATTTATGGTAACATCACATACCAGTATTTTCCCAGGCTGCTTCCTTTGTCTCCAACAGTGCAGCAAGGCCAATGTTGTCCTTTGTCATGACACGGTTCAACATATCTTCTGATCCATCATGATTAGCCATTGCTAATTGGTTGAACTCTATCAATCGCTCTTTGACCAGGGAAAACCTGAAATACAGTGCAAATTATTTTCCCTGTTATTCAGGCTACTGCTTTATTGTGATAAATTGTATTATAAAATAAGGTGTTAATAGTGTGAAAAAAGTGCTCCACAAATTTATAATTTTGGAGTTCTGTGGACACTTCACAAGTGACATTGTGGTGTTATGAGAGAGAAGCATTGGGGATGTGATGCAGAGGTGGAGATACTCGGGTTGTAGGTTGTGTTTAGGTTTTGTTTTGTTTCAGTGTTTATCATGCCAACAAACTGCCATGATATCAACAGATAACTGCATTTTTTTCTTATTTAGCATCTTCAATTTTGGCACGATTCCTTGTTGCTTTGACTGTTCCACTTATGTCTGTACAATTTGTCTTTAGGTAATGCAACAACAAAGGGTTTTATACCAATTACTGGTATCTACACCTACCATCCGACTTATGATCTGCTCAACATACGACCGAGTTTTGTATGCCAAATTTCTGGGAAATAAACAACTGTTTGTGTTGTACAGTGTTTATCCTAAACCTTACAGTATAAAATACAGTACTAACAGCATAAAAAGTAAAGCAAAAAATGAAATACCAAAATAAAACAATAAAATAAAGTCATTACAAAAATGTTATGTTGATATTCAGTAGTAAGGTTTGACTTGCGTCCATTTCGACTTACGACTGGTTGGTCGTAACAAAGCTCGGTCATAAGTCGGATGGTACCTGTAATGCATAACCTAGACCAAGCTAAGTCTCCATTTTCTTGACATCACCTGAGATACCTAGCAACTTTTCAGTATCTTTTAGTGGTGTGATTCCTGTGTATACAATAACATCAATGATGAGGCCAGTCTCACAGTCACACATGACAGTGATACCAGTGTTGGTGGTTTGCCTGGTATGTACTGCTTGATGGGGCATCTGCAGTGGTAGCACTATCTTCACATTCATACAATTCCAGGTCCTCATCACTATCTTCAATACAAGAATGAGCCTGGGTAAATAAATGGCCAATAGTCTGTGGAGCGAGACGTGTTGGTATGGTACCTTAATGCCCTGCATGGCGGAGGAATGTTTTGCTGGTGCACACACCAATGACGCAGACCTACATCCCGCATAGGCCTAACATTCCTGATTGCAGCCATTTTGAGGGCACTAAAATTTAAACTTTTATCTACGTGTAGCAGTATATGTACACCCACCAATGATCAAAATGTGTGGCAGTTATAGGGTAAACTGAATCTACGAGAGTAGTGAATGTTCTCTGAACATTCTCCAGGTCTTTAATTCTGCCTATTTTGAATGAAGCTGTCAGATTACAGCGGTACTCCAGCCTAGAAAGCACATAAAGACTTGAAAAGTATCATTGGCTTGACATCACTTGCCTTGCAAATGTGATACTGTTGTGATTCTTGAAGGCACGATCTAAATCATTACCAGGTCTCTCGCATTTAATCTTACACCGAGACATTCCAGTTTTATACTTTTCCAATCTGTTTCCTCTTTCCATAATGAAGTAAGAAACTTGCCCTCACTGAACATCAGTGGTCCATTGAAGACTGTTAGTAAACAAGTGCTCGCACACACACACTCGTGTACATACAGACAAACATGTACATACATATACAGTGGACCCCCGTTATTAGATGACATCGGTATTCGATAAATCCGGTATTCAATGTATTATATCACAAAAATTTTGCCTCGGCATCCGATTGAAAACCCGGTATTCGATACGATTCGTACGAGACGTGTCCACGTGTGGCCTGAACTGCCCCGTGTGTGCCAGTGTTTACAAGCCAGCCAGTGTGCACACATCTAAGGATACATTCGGTACAGTCCATATTATCACTGTTTTTGGTGCTTCTTTCTGCAAAATAAGTCACCATGGGCCCCAAGAAAGCTTCTAGTGCCAACCCTTCGAGAGAAAAGGCGCTAATGACTATTGAAATGAAGAAAGAGCTAATTGCAAAGTACGAAAGTGGAGTGCATGTGTCGGAGCTGGTCAGGTTGTATAATAAACCCCAATCAACCATCTCTACTATAGTGACCAGGAAAATGGCAATAAAGGAAGCTGTTCTTGCAAAAGGTGCAACTGTGATTACAAAACAGCGACCGCAAGTGTTATAAAATGTTGAGAGACTGTTATTGGTGTGGATAAATGAAAAACAGATAGCAGGAGATAGCATCTCTCAAGCGATCATTTGTGAAAAGGCTAGGCAGTTGCATGACGATTTGGTAAAGAAATTGCCTGCAACTAGTGCTGATGTGAGTGAATTTAAGGCCAGCAAAGGTTGGTTTGAAAGATTTAAGAATCGTAGTGGCATACATAGTGTGATTAAGCATGGTGAGGCTGCCAGTTATGTTGTGCGACAGAGGTCCTGTGACTCAAGCTGGTCCTAGTGGCATTAAAAGAAGAAGGGAAGTAACCCCGGAAAATGACTTGCTACCTCAAGTCCTAATGGAAGGGGATTCCCCTTCTAAACACTAACACCTCTCCCCTCCTCCCATCACATTAATCACCACCAGATCTTCATTAAAGGTAAGTGTCAATTATTTTATTGTTATTGTAATTATTCTATTGCATTAAACTTACTATTTCATGTAGTAAAATTTTTTTTTTTTCATACTTTTGGGTGTCTTGCACGGATTAATTTGATTTCCATTATTTCTTACAAGGAAAATTGATTCGGTTTTCGATATTTTCGATATTCGATGAGCTCTCAGTAACGGATTAATATCAAATACTGGGGGTCCACTGTACACTGTTGCCAGTAATCAAACTGGGGATTATGAGAGACCAGTTTATAAAGACAAGGACACTTTCAAATAATATAATGCTCAATACAATTATTAAAATTACAGGAAGGTAAAATTGTGGGCAAGAAAGATGGAAAGCACTTACAATATTTAGTATCGACACAAGATTTCCCTGGTTCATAACTTACTTGCTCGTTCTCCAGAAGATGGCACAACCATCAACGTATTTCCTTTCATTTTCTGACATGTGCTTCGCTCTGGATTTTGGAGAGAATATTCCATCATAACCTTCATTCTTTAGCTCGGGAAGAAAAAAGTTGAAGAACTGGTCTGTTTCTACTTCCTGAAAAGTATAGTATTGTAAAATCACTTTCAATATAGTAATATTTTACAGGCACATACATTTTCATTGAGATGATGCAATGCTTTTTTGAATACAGAGTTGACAGGTTCAGAAAAACTAGACTGATATGCTCATATAGGTATATGCACTGAAAAGGGACATTTCAATTATGTGAATTTTAACTTTCCAAAGAAGATTTAGGTACAATATAGGACTACAATACAGGTACAGTACAGAACTGCAATACAGGTACAATACAGGACATATATACTGCAGATGTAAAAGTGCAAATATCTGTGACTAACCTGTAAAGTTATGATGTCAGCAAGGTAGTGCTTAATCTCATCCATAATACCTTTCTTGCGGTATTCCCACTCCAGTGCCCAGGAAGGGCAATACCCGTACATCTGACGTGTTGCATACTTGTCACACAACACATTGTAACACATCACAGAGAATATACCTACAATGTAGAATAAACACCAAATTATTATGCAGGATAAACATACATCACTTAATTATAATATTTAGGGTATAGCACTAAACCCATAAGGGTCATACAGCACCAGGGTATTGGAGGTAATCAAGTTTGATCAAAGGAAGGGAAGGGCAATTCCTTGGATTAAAGAGTTCACCAGCATCAAAGAACATTCCTTGAGAGGACAACACTTAGTATCCTTCAAGGAAATTTTGATAGGGATGTATAATACAGAATAATGTTGTGTACTGTACAGTAATTACTGAGAGAATGTTGCCCAGGAGGCAGGTCTTTAAAGACTCATGCCCTGTAGGGCTCCCCTACAGCAAAACAATGACCTTGCCCAAGGGGTAGAAGAATGCTCCATAAGGTAGTGTGTGCCACTGATGCCCCCCTGGCCTGCCTTGTTAGTAGTGCTCTACTATTGGAACTTAAAAACTATTTAAATTGCTAAATATTGAAAACACAAGCCATGACTGCACGACTTTAGGTTGTCTACCGTATGTACAAGGTATACAATATCAGGACGAGTGGAGTTTACATGTCTGAGGAGGGGTTGTTGAGGGGGTCTGGACATTGAGTGTGGAGCAAAGGAGGATTGCTAGAAATGTATATAAATCTGAGGTGGAGGTAAGGAGGGGCAGGAATCATTCTATGACATGATGAGAGGGGTCAAGGTTTTGGATGCGAGGCTTGGTTAAGGACTGGAACACAGGGACATTTATCCTCTGAACACCCTCCTGGTAGATAGGCTTGCATAAGTAAGTTGGACAGAAGTGAGTGGAGGTAAATGTTTATGATTTGACATGCTGTTGGAGTGTGAACAAGGTAACTTATGAAGGATTAAGGGAAACCAGTTAGCTAGGCTTGAATACTGGAAGTGGAAAGCACAGTGGTACCCAGAGTTTCGGCCATAATTTGTTCCAGAAGGCTGTTTGAGTGCCGTTACCGAACAAATTTGTTCCCATAAGGAATTATGTAAATTACATTAGTCAGTTTCAGACCCCCAAAAATGCACTTACAAAAGCACTTAAAATAATACACTTGAATAATTGTTCGAGAGCTGGGAGCTGTACGAAACTCTGGGTAGCACTGTATAGTACCTACACTCTGAAAGAAGGGGTGAGGAAGTTGTGGTTTAGAGGGTCATCTTAAATGTAATGTCAACAAACTTCTGGCAAGACAATGACTGAATGGTGATAGGAAAAGTAATGTGTTCTTTATTGGGGCCCCCTACCTCGATGGAAGATGGCAGGTGTAATACAGTAAGATTAGAGGTTAATATATTGTACAGATTTAAACTGTTTTAAATATATTTGTTAAAAAGGTTAAATACTGTCTAAGTAAACTACAACAAACTAGAGGGTGTTCCATATTACGGAAGTCTCAGTCTTCTTAGTCCCCACCAAACTAAAAGAAACATGAAATCTAGTCAAATAACACATGCCATTCATATAAATGTAAATATCCAGTCAAAGTTTTGTCCACTCAATAATAAAGTGAAAGATAATGGAAAATAAGTTATTGTATTGCCCCAGATCACAAGAATGAGCACAGCTTTCTGAAAAGACGGTGTATATAGCAGTTTATGACAGTCAAAGCTTTCTAACTTGTTCATAATGCAATGAATGTGCCATACTGTAAGCAAAACTTGCCAACCTGGCTTATTCAGCAAGAATCTTTTGCCAAACAGGCTTGAGTAAATTAATAATTGTAATTACTCTGCAAAACTTTTCTCAACGTAAAACATTACAATGATGTTAAATACACAACTAAACTTAGGTCATCCTAAGATAAGTAGGATTAATTTTAGGAAGGTTATGTTGCTACTTGGTTTTGATGAAAATTAAAAAATTGCACATTCACATCATTTACCATATTTGCATATTTACTTATGCACAAAAGAAATAAAATTCCACTTTGAAGCTAGTTAAGCTTATCTGATCAACCTGGCTTACAAGAAACTACATACATGTAAATCCATGCTAGACTAGAAAGTCAATAACAGTGAGAAGTACAGTACTTACATGAAGGTCGGGTTCTATCTGCATCACCAAGATGTATCCATGGTCTCTGGGGCGGATGAGGAGTAGTTACTGAAACATAAATTATTATTAGTACATACTTGTATGAACAGCAATTACAAACTAATCTAAATGCTTAAGCCAAAAATCTCTCAAATTACAAACATTTATTTTTTAAACTTCAAAGAAAAACTATCAAGATACTCAAGAATATGCTGGTAACACAAATGTACAGTAGAATATAGGGAGCAGTATGTGGTTATTTTAAATATCTAACTAACACTCTCGAGCTAATAATAAATTTGGTAAAAGTTTATTAAAATAATTTTTATATACAAGAATCACTTCAAATTTTGAATACAAGTCTGGTTTCCCCTACATTCACTTTTTATACTCATTTTAACTTCAAATATAAAGAAAGTGGATGCTTGCTCAGTTTATTAACATATCAGATATATTATGATGATTCTAAAACACAAACACACACAGGACTTCAAAGAGACCTGGACAGACTGGACACCTGGTCCAGCAACTGGCTTCTCAAATTTAACCCCGCCAAATGCAAAGTCATGAAGATCGGGGAAGGGCACAGAAGACAGCAGACGGAGTATAGGCTAGGTGACCAAAGACTGCAAACCTCGCTCAAGGAGAAAGATCTTGGGGTGAGTATAACACCGAGCATGTCTCCGGAAGCACACATCAACCAGATAACTGCTGCAGCATATGGGTGCCTGGCAAACCTGAGAACAGCGTTCCGAAACCTTAGTAAGGAATCGTTCAAGACACTGTACACCATGTACGTCAGGCCCATACTGGAGTATGCAGCACCTGTTTGGAACCCGCACTTTATCAAGCACGTCAAGAAATTAGAGAAAGTGCAAAGGTTTGCGACAAGGTTAGTTCCAGAGCTAAGGGTAATGTCCTATGAAGAAAGGTTAAGGGAAATCGGCCTGACGACACTGGAGGACAGGAGGGTCAGGGGAAACATGATAACGACATAAAATACTGCACGGAATAGACAAGGTGGACAAAGACAGGATGTTTCACGGAGGGGACACAGAAACAAGAGGTCACAATTGGAAGTTAGACTCAGATGAGTCAAAGGGACGTTAGGGAGTATTTCTTCAGTCATAGAGTTGTCAGGCAGTGGAATAGCCTAGAAAGTGACGTAGTGGAGGCGGGAACCATACATAGTTTCAAGACGAGGTTTGATAAAGCTCATGGAGCAGGGAGTGAGAGGACCTAGTAGCAACCAGTGAAGAGGCAGGGCCAGGAGCTAAGACTCGACCCCTGCAACCACAAATAGGTGAGCGCGCACGCGCACACACACAAATATATATATATATATATATATATATATATATATATATATATTATATATATATATATATATATATATATATATATATATATGTGTATGTGTGTGTGTGTGTGTGTGTGTGTGTGTGTGTGTGTGTGTGTGTGTGTGTGTGTGTGTGTGTGTGTGTGTGTGTGTGTGTGTGTGTGTGTGTGTGTGTGTGTGTGTGTGTGTGTGTGTGTGTGTGTTGTGTGTGTGTGTGTGTGTGTGTGTGTGTGTGTGTGTGTGTGTGTGTGTGTGTGTCAAGACATTCAATTTTCTTTAACGTGTTTACATACAGGCTCATATTATTATTCCCCAGAGTACCTTTGAGCTATTTCTGCTTAAGATCTTGTTAAGTGTGGGAAGGTGAATGCACACACCTGAGGGTGCTTGTGATGGAGGAAGATGGGTGTTGTGCTGTCATGTACTGTTCATGGGCAGTAACATCTTGCTTGCACCCACACTTGCTCCAATCCAACAGCCACTAATTTTTTCACCAGCAGGCCAACCCTCATCACTACGGGTTTCACCAGACCGCAAAACACTTGCGTGTGTCATATCACCAGTTTCCTGATAGTAGGTGTTTTGGGGTTGGGCTGTCCCAACATGTGGCATACCTGGGGTACTCTGTGTGGTGCACAGTTCCCAGTCAAGAATAAGTTTAAGGCGATTCAGTGTGTCAGTGATGGCTGAAAGGTGAGGTGCAAGTGTGCCCCTGCCAGCAGCTTTCATGGCAGCACTGTAGCGGCGAGCTTCAGGCAGCAACCAGCAGATCTTAGTGGTGATATCAAGCACTGTAGTTTCCAACATTTGCAAGTCTTCTACTACATTTGTCCACTTTATAGGCCGCACTGATGGTCTATTATTTACATTACAGCCTACAATCCTGGGAAGGTATTTACATGTACTGTTATCTGCTACTGAACGAAGCACCCAAAACATTTCTGACACTATGCCTTGCACGCCCTTCATGTATGATAAAGAAAAATTATAAGATGTCAGTATATTTCTCGAGTGATGGACTTCTTGCAGGCTGTAATGTGATACAACAAGATGAACTGTTAATTTTTCATCCATATCTGATTTCACAGCTTGCCATAACCAGCAAAGGAGATCATCAGTAATTGTATCAGGGAAGGATTCCAAGTTGCCATCTTTATCTGAACGTCTTGTATCACTATATTTCATGTGCTTACAAGAATCCTCTAAATCTTTGTCATAAACTTCAGTGGTAGTAAAGGAGGATTCTCTGCTGAAGTCTAGATCTGTTGGACTATCTAGTTTAGCCTCAGGGCAAATATTAGGGAAGAAATCCAGAAATCCCTCAACTGCACAAGCATTGTTAATTTTGACAAGCCAAGATTTCAGCTGTTGTATATCCTCTTCAAAGGTAAAATCAACACTGAAATCATGATCACACACTGCCCTGTACTGCTCATTCAGCACTGGCAAAAGCCATCTTAATCTCAGGTAAAGCTGCTCCACACGAGTATTCACTCTAGTAATTTCATCATGTATTAGTTTCACAGACAAGCAAGAACCAAATGACAACTTTGTGCTAGCAAACACTGGAAGTCTAATGAAATAATTCCTCATCAGCTCCCAAATTTTTAGAGTCACTAGAGGTACAGATATGCCTTTGCTCTCAAGGACAAACTGCTGTTGTTGATCCAGGCAGTCGTACTTATCACTGGAAAGACTTTCTATTGTAGACGGAGATTCACAGACCTCGTACCTAACTTGTGAATTTTTCTCACTGGCTACTGGAATGCAAGTACTGGCAAGATTTTTCTTTAGTAATTTAATGTTGAGAGTATCAGGGGATGGTAACAGAAAATTGTTTAAGTAGTCAATTAAATTTTGTAAGCAAGACTCAGGAGAGTTCTCTAGCCTAGTCACAGGCACTACCTTAGAAAGTTCCTCACCAGTACTGCCGGGCTTCACCACCCGGTCTTCCTCACCAGTACTGCCGGGCTTCACCACCCGGTCTTCCTCACCAGTACTGCCGGGCTTCACCACCCGGTCTTCCTCACCAGTACTGCCGGGCTTCACCACCCGGTCTTCCTCACCAGTACTGCCGGGCTTCACCACCCGGTCTTCCTCACCAGTACTGCCGGGCTTCACCACCCGGTCTTCCTCACCAGTACTGCCGGGCTTCACCACCCGGTCTTCCTCACCAGTACTGCCGAGCTTCACCACCCGGTCTTCCTCACCAGTACTGCCGGGCTTCACCACCCGGTCCTCACCAGTACTGCCGGGCTTCACCACCCGGTCTTCCACACCAGTACTGCCGGGCTTCACCACCCGGTCTTCCTCACCAGTACTGCCGGGGTTCACCACCCGGTCTTCCTCACCAGTACTGCCGGGCTTCAGCACCCGGTCTTCCTCACCAGTACTGCCGGGCTTCACCACCCGGTCTTCCTCACCAGTACTGCCGGGCTTCACCACCCGGTCTTCCTCACCAGTACTGCCGGGCTTCACCACCCGGTCTTCCTCACCAGTACTGCCGGGATTCACCATCCAGTCTTCCTGCACAGCAATACCTGGCTTCACCGCCTGGTCTTCCTGCACAGTAATACCTGGCTTCACCGTCCAGTCTTCCTGCACAGCAATACCTGGCTTCACCGCCTGGTCTTCCTGTACAGCAATACCTGGCTTCACCCTCCAGTCTTCCTGCACAATACTACCTGGCCTCGCCACCCAGTCTTCCTGCACAGTACTAGCTGGCTTCACACGGTCTTTCATGCTGGGTTTGCTATCCCGATATTCAGCTACCTTGATTCTGTTACTGTCATTATCGTCATCCGACTCTACAATCTCTCCATTTAACATATCGAAAATATATTTACGTATTTCAATATCAGGATGACACTGCGGGGTAAACTGGGGCGAGGAGAGGATATGGTTCTTCCTTCCTTTAGAATACCTGGGACTGGGGGAAGAGGAAGAGCTGGAGTGGAAACGGAGGTTCTGGACGACATCCTCACGGTAAGCTTCCCAGCCTATCCAGTCACTTAGGATGCAGAAGGCTTGCTGCAGCTCTTCTAATGAGAAGTGGACGGCCAAAGCGTGCAGCACGTCATCTCGTTTTACCTTGGCACATATAGCCCTCTGTGTCATACTCAATACATCGTTCACTATTTCCATAACCATCCTAGCTATTTAATACTTTATTCCACCCCTACTTGAAATAAAAGGGCCTGCTAAAATAACATACAAAACGCAAATTTGAAACACCGTATTCCATAAAACTGAGGTAGGTATTATTTGCAATGTGAGACTGTAGGTGTTGAAGCCGTCCAGAGTGATGAACAACGCGGGTGTTGGGAGTGTTGCCGCCAGCAGGAAGGAGTAAAAGCAGCAGCTACGAGTTACACCACACTAACACTGACCACCTGGTAACAGTAGAGGTGCTTCTGACTGGACAGCCTTAACCGCCAATCAAACACCAGGTACAAACTGCTACAACTATCACACTGCGCCTGACACCACCATCACGGCCAAATCACCATTTTAAGTTCAATCATATTTCCAAAAATGAAACTGTAATGTAAAACCCGTTCACAAGTGCAAAATTTGTATTTTCATCACACCATCAACGTAGTGTGAAGCGCATACTTTTTTCGTCGTAATTAGTGCGCGGTGACGACGCACGGCTCCACTATGCAAGCCCCCCCTTTACCTCCCACCATGAAAGATACACCCTCCTCTCCCACCATGCATAACACACCCC